AATTTTAGAGAAAAATCTTAGATTCTTTAGAACCAAATGTCCTGTAAAGAGATTTCACATACAAACACAAACCTAAAAAAGTAATATTCTCTAGAAACAACCCTTTTTAACAAAAAAAAAAAAAAACCAAAAAATCTTCTTAAAAAATGGACCACCTTAAACAAAGACAAAAAACTTGTTTCAAAACAAAACAAAAAAAATTTACCAACCCACTTTTCTTCAAACAATTTTGTTACTCAAAAAAGACTTTAAGAAAAATCTAGAGGGGTTTATGAAATGAAACTTCTTTTAAGTGTTAAAGTAAAATGAAATGTGTAAGGAAGGAGTTTCAATGTGTGAGAAAAAAAATAAATTGAACTTTTATATTTGAGTGAAATGTGAAAGGAATGAGATTCAATTTGTGAGAAAAGAATAAAAGAGATAATAAGAAAAAGAGAAAGGAAGAGTCAAAGCTCTTTTCTTGCAAAGAGCTTCTCTCCTTTTTTTTCCTTTTTCATTTTTCTCTTGAATTCAACAATGAAAAAAAAAGTAAGAGAAGAAACCTCTTGTCTTTTTTTTTTTTTTTCTTAAAATTATTTTCATTTAGAATTCCTAAACAAACTTCAAAATAATAAAAAAAGGTAAAAAACCAATTTTGTTTCTATTTTGGGTTTTTCTTTTATTTTATTGTTATTGGTAAATTATTAATAAAGCTTTTGAAACATATACAAAATTTTTTTAAAAATAGAAATGCATTTGCATGCATTTTGAACACAACATATAATGTACTTTTCAAAGATTTTATTTGAAAATTTTTTTTTCTTTTGTTTAAAGAAAATTTGGATTACTTTAAAGAAAACAAAAGATAGGTGATGCTTATGCACTTACCAGTTACCAAGCAAGTTGAAATTTGCAGGCTTACAGAGATTATTAGAGTTTAAAACTTTAACCAACATTTTTAAGTAATAAAAAAGTATGTTCTATTATAAAAATTATTTTTATAAATTGTATTTTAAATTAATTTAAAAAAAATGTAATGGACAGAGCTAAAAAATTTTTAATGCCTAAAAAAAAATTGAAAACTCTTTAAACTTATTATAATGGAATGATTAAATCACAATCAATACTTTAATAATGCAAACACATATAACACTATATAAAACATATCCTGAATGGTATAAGAGTTTGACATGTGTATTATTATTATTATATTATTATTTGCATTTTTTGTTTGTTGTGGAGAGTTTTAGGCTAGCCTTAATAGATGTTGAATAGCGGGTCCTAAATCATGTTTTTAATAGCAATAACCCCAACAATCCGTACAATGACAAGAGATTTGTTTTTATGAGTTTATTCATTTGAGCGGTGGTTTATGAATGGGTGTTTGATGGTATTATAAATGATTGGCTCTAATTTTGTAATTTATACTTTAAAGCTAGCTTTCCATTTAAAAGTATTTAAATTAGTCTAATCATTTTCATGGAATTAAATTTGGTATTCATGAATGATATCAAGGGTTGCATTGCAAGTCCACCAAAAATATGTTAAAAGGCTCGAAAAAAAAAAGTAGGGAATAGAACATGTGAAAAAAAAGACGATAAGAAAATAAAAAGAAAAGGATAGCTAGAAAGATAATGAAATTTTGCAGGTTGAGATCGTCTATAACCATATGAAAGCTTGATTTGGTCTTGGTTTTTTGAATTTATTGAGTTCATTTTTTACTTTTTTAGAAAATGAAAAAAATGAGAGAGATTTGAAATGTTTATGTTATTTCCAATGATTTGTTTATTTGTTTGCTTTTTTTGTATTTTTTTATTATTACTTTTGTTTTTTAAGTTTTCAAATTCGATTACAGTTGTAATTGTTTAGATTATAAACATAACGTGCATGAACTCTTATTTGATTTATATTTTTATTTCTTAGCTATTTTTACATTGCTTTTTCTATTTTATCTATAATTGAATTCGATTTTATATCATTATAATCTCATTTCGTTTTATACTTCGTACAATATAAGAAAATACAAATTAAATCTTCCAATGGTTTTACCTAAACCAACAATCAAATTTTTTTTATTATTTTTTCAAAAATTTTGTACTACAAGCCAAAAAAACAACCTTAAATGAATATGGTGGAGCCGAGTTACCACCCTAGTCTATATAATTGAGCTCTAGTAACAATACACATGTCACTTAATAATTAATTGTTCAACTATTTTTTAAAATCTACCATATTTTTAAAATTAGTTGCACGACAGAATGTGAAGTTGAAAATTTTGAATTTATAAAAGGTGATTTGTGCATTTATGACTTTTTTGTCAAATGTTGGGCTCATTTAGGTTAGCTGAAAACGTAAATCCAAATTCAAAATGAGATTTTTTTTTTTATTTGTGAGGTATAATTTTATTATATATTTGTGAAGTATTATATTTAAAAATAAAAAATTTTTCATTAAAAATTATAATATTTTTTTGTTTTCACAAAAAAATTTTATAATATACGATAAATTGAAAAGATTATACAATTGAGAAAATAATTTTGAAAAATCACAAAACTTCTAACATAACATGAAAATTTAAAAACAAAAAACAAAAAACAATAATAATAACATATTAATTATTATATTTAATTTTTTTAAACTTTTAATATTTTATAATATTTTATGTTTATTAAAATTTTTATTATTTTATATTAAAATGATAATATGTATATTAAAAATAAAAAAAATCGATGAAAATATCAATCCCAGAATGGGGGGCCAAATTCTAGTTTTAGATTAATCCAAACCCAATAACACTGGTGAGGTCAAAAGTTAGTCAAAGTTTGACAACCTTGTTTGGATATTTTTGTGCTTATATTCAAGTCAGGTTCCTGTGAAAATCTCAATAGAAACGAAAGATAATAGGAGATGACAAAGGTTTTTTCTTTTTTTTTTTTTTAATTTTTTTGATAAATTGAAAATTAATTCTTCATGTCATACCAGTATGTTTCTTTTATTGTAACTAAGTTTTCCTTTTAAGAGTAAAAAATCAACATTTTAACTCTAATTTACTGCTAAGTTACAAATGTCAACTCATCTAAAAAGCCTCAAATTCTCATCCAGAAGTTACAAATGTGTTCAATAAGGTGATATGCTGAAAATTTTTAAAATTTTTATGGACAAGCTCAAATTATCCTACATTATCAAATCTTATATGTATATAACAATATAAATATATAAGTTTGCCACATAAGCATTTATATGGACAATTCTCTTAAATAACACATATGATGGTTTTTTAAAAAAATAAGATAATTTCTTTTAATTACAAATTAGATAATTTTAAATTTATTCAAATATCAAAATTATTCAAACTATAATTGAAAATCAAATTATTTTAGAGATATATATTATAAAATTAAAAATATGAAATATGAATTTTATTTTTTTAATAAATAATTTTAGTTGTTTATCAAATAACCTTATTTAAAAAATTATTTAGTTATCAAAATCTTTCAAACATATTTAAAAATTACAAAGATTAAGTTTATCTAGATTTTCAACAATCTTTTTTTATCTTGATTTAAAATTTTTGATTTAAAAAATTATCTTTTCAAAAAATTTACGTATAACATTAAAAATTCAAGCAGTTTTATGTAAGATTTTGAAATTTAAAAAAATTTTCATTTTAAATATTTAAATAATAAGATTATCAAAATGATTATATCCATTTGAACTTTAATTATCAAATTTATATTTCAAATAAATGCAAAAAATTTAATATTATTTTTATCACTTATTATATCCATTTTAAATTTTAAAAATTATCTATTTAATCCTAATTGCCACTAAAAAATTAGTCTACAAATTTAAGACTACAAATGCAATGTGTTATATATCAATATTTTATTTGTTCAATAACTTTTTTTAAGGTATATTCTATTACTATTGCAATTTTTTTTTGTTTATAAATTTTTTCTAAGATATATTTTATTATTATTATTAAAGTTTCATTCTTATGGAAAATAATTTTTTTTCAATTTATTTTTTTTCATATATTTTTTAACATTTTTTTATATTTTGTATAATAATTTAATCAAGATTACTAAAATGAAAATGTGGTAATACTTCTTTTATTATTTAATTTATCATTCAAAAATATATATATATTTATTTTTTAAAAGAAGACATAATTTATTTTTATTTGATATGATTTTATAGGTGTATAAATATTATTATAAACAAAAATATTCAAAGGAAAGACTTTTTTTGTTGTTTTTAAAAAGTTTATTTTTTAATAACAAGTCAATATATATAAATTTTATATATGTTATGAATTTTAAATATTTGAATATGATTTTAAAAAAATTAATTATATATATTCATATTAAATAAATAAAATCGATTTGTGCATCGCGCAAGTTATAATCTAGTTTCATTTATATTCCACATCTTACATTTCCAATTGAATTTCACTTATTACATTCCTAACTTTCAGTTTCAAATAAATGAGCGAACCAAAATATGTTAATACATCAAAAGCCCTTTAAAGTATGAATATACGGTGAAGGCGCAAAAAAAAAAAAAAAAAAAGTAGAAAAACATATGAGGTGGTGGGAAAGGCATTAGCAATCTCTCTGATCAAGATTTTAATGTGTAGAACTTACAGATTGTTGCCCTTTGGCCCATTAATTAATTGAAAATAATGTGGGCTTGCATCTCATAGCCCATAATAGCACAGAGTTTTGAAAGAAACTTGGAGGATTCCTTTATTTTTCATTATTAAGTGCCTTGATTGATTTATCTTCTACTTCTTCCTTTGATTTAACCTCCTTTATTCTCTTAATTTATTATTCCCAGAGCAAGTATGCTTCAAATTTTACATACTCTTTTGCTTTGCATCGCCTTTTGGTTTATATATATATATATATATATATATATTGTTTAAAGTATGCTTCAAGTTTAACTACATGAATAAAAATATGCTCTTAAGCTCTAAACAACATTGAAGAGAAATTAACTTCTGGTATTAATGGTGGCAACTACTGCAAAACTGCTGCACCCCTTGACTCACTTTGGCTGCTAGATTGTGGAGCTGACTCCGGTCCATCAATGGATGGCTTTATCACCGCATAAAAACAGATATTGTAAAAGATTGTGAAAGTAAGGAGAGCAATAGTTAAATATGCCAAGAAAGACCCTGAAACTTCTGGGGTATCTTCCACCATTTTGTCTCTTGTAAGTTTTACATCTAATGCTGCAATTAGTTTACAAAAAAAAAAAAAAAAACGTGTTACCACATTTTGCCAACGGCCATTGTTGGTATGCCAGTAGATGATCTTTTCAACTAAGTTTTTTGCTGATTCAACGTGTTAGAATACGGTTGAATCAAGTGTACCAAAAACTTATAACCAAATGGGCATAACCTAGTAAACGATTTGGGGAATTCAAATTGGCATTGGAGATTTGGAATAGGTAAACCTGAAACCTATTACTTTGCCTTCACAACACTTAACTGTTAACACAGCTTTGCTTTGTCCATAAGCATTTCTAAAAAGGGAACCATAAGCATTTTCTTTATCATTTCGTTCTGCTACAATTCTCTCCTTTTTTTTTTACATAAAAGTTTAGAGTGAGAGAAGACTATCTCACTCAAGAAAAGGAAGAAACTTGTCACTTGCCATTTGCAATTGCATAAATCAGAAAATTAAAGGAGCTTAAATTAGTCTTCAGAATCATGTTTCACAGTTACATAGTGAAAACTAACTCCTTGATGATTCAGAGGGAATTAGGAAATGAAGGCATGCTTACAAGGGTAGCCAACACTAAATAGTCAAGACCAGGGTTTTATCTAAAGAAGCCACTCAATTCAACAGAGCAGATGCAATTTGATGCTACCATCCGGGCAATTTATGACAAAACAACGGTAAAAAGACATGATTTGGTATTTTAAATATTTTGTTCATTTATGCTTCTTCTGGATTATGTCAGTTCTAACTAGATCACAACTGAGCTCATTTATTACTTGAAAAGAAGAAGCAACAGCGCAACTAAGAATTGAAGACTATAAAGATAAACAGAGGGAGAAAGATTACCTCTGATCTTAGGAGTGCTGACTTGTTTGTTAGAGAGGGTTTGCAGCTGCTGGTCAAGCTTTTGAAGGGCTTCTTTAGCCTTTTCTGGGTCTACTTCAAACTGCTTTGAATCTTTCTCCACTGCACGAACAATCCAAGAAGAAGATGATAAGTTTATTGTTTTCTTGGCATTATTATTCCCACCATGTTCAATTAATTGAGAGATAAGTGCTGAATGGTTGGTGTTAAAAAGTGGGAGACGCTTTCTTTGAAGCGAGCAAAAATGGAGAGAAACCATTTTTATGTTGGCAAATGGAAAGGGAATAGTTAAACCATATCCACTTGAAACATGAGTTTCTTTCAAGATAAAACTTTCAAGGGGTTATTACAGTCTTTTCCTTTGTTTGAATGCAATTGGTTGCATGACATTTTGCTTCCAATTATGTGCATCAATAGAACTTGAATTGAAAATTTTAAGAGTGAAGTAATTGGGTCAACCACTTTGGGATATTTTTATTTTAGTGTTCATATTTGAATTTTAATTATTAAAATTAAAATTTTTATAATTTATTAACAAACCATGCCACTATTAGTTTTTGTTTTTAACGTTGCTAGCATTAGTTTAGTATTTTTTTTTTACATGTAACGTTCAATTAAATTAAATTATATTATAGAAGCTATATCTTTCTTATCTAATCTACTAGTTAATTTTGTAGAGATTTGAAAATGAGAAGGGTGTCCATATAGTATCTCTCTTTTTTTTATTAGATTTTTATTTTTGTTTTTAATTTGTTTTTTTTTCTTTTTTAATATCCATTCTTCCTTTTTATTTTTTTTAATATTTTGCTATTCTTTATTTTTTGAGTTTTTAACTTTAATTTTTTAATTAGATATATTTTGTAAAAAAATTATTGAAGGTAATAATCAAAAAATTCATATTCGATGGATTTTAATTTATTTTGATCTAATAATAGATATTTTTTAATTTGAAATCTTTTTTTTTTTTTAAATTGAGGTTGAATTGAAAGTAGATTTAGAATATTTTACCATCCTATAGGTATATAAAATTTTTTTTTTTTATTATTCATTTATCTATCTATTATATTGAAGTTGTAGATTTTGGAGAGATGAGAGAGTCCTCACGTGACACCCTATCCCTCTTCCAAAAATTTACTTTCTATTTTTTTAATTTTGTTTTTATTAAATCCACTTTTTAACTTTTTATTTGGTTTTTTTAATTTTAATTTATTTATTAAATAAAATGTTGTATTAAAAAGTCAATAGTAAGAATGACAAAATAATCCATTTTTAATTGATTTTAATTTGTATTAATCTAATATAGATGTATTTTTAAAATATAAAGTTCAGGTCAATTTTTTTTAAATGAGTTCGAGTTGAAGATGGATTTAAAATATTTCGTTCGATCTCAGGTATCCATGTGGCACCTCCTTTATTTTGGTTTTTTTTTTTTAAGTGTTTAATTTTTGTTTCATTTTTTAAAATTTTTTTTACTTTTAGTTTTTTATTAGATAAATTTTTTAATAAAAAAATAATTAAAATAGAGGTGACAAAATAATCCGTATCAAATAAATTTTGGTTTACTTCGATCCAATTAGTGTACTTTTTTTAAATTTTAGATTTTTGAATTAAGTTTTTATTTTTTTAAGTTGAGATCGAATAATAATAAGGTTTTTGGTGTTAGACCTTGATCTTGATATATAAAAGAAGTATATATTTTATTATTATATAATTCTATATTTTTATATGTATTTTATTTAAAATATTATTTAATATTTTAATTTAAAAAATTTACAAGGCCGTCTCATTTGATTTTTTTGTTTTTATCCTTTTTTTTGTTCTTTAAATTTTTTATTAGATAATTTTTTTTAAAAAAAAATTAAATAGATGTAGCAAAGAAAAAAAAAATCATAGGTTTCGATTTTTTTATTTAAATAAAAATTAAATTAATTTTTTTCTCTTTAAATAATTTGGATTAAGTGAAAATCGAGTTTAAGACGTTTTACTCCAACTCTCGTAAGGATTTATATTTGTATATGTATTATTTTAATAAATATATATCTTAATTTAATAAAAAAATTTATTTATATACAATTAAGCTATAATTTAAATAAAAAAATAAATACATTTATATTTATCTGTATATTATCATTAATTAAAATTTGACATAAAAATTTTAATTCTCTCGCATTTAAAACATAATTCAAGAAATTAAAAAATAATCACGCAACAAAAACACGATTTAATTCTAGTAAGTTTTGATTCTTGGTATCCCATTTTCCTGAGACTGGTTAAAGAATCTCTTTTTAGTTGTCCAAGAACAATTGGGAGATTGTCTAAAAAATCCGAGATTCCGCGTTTGACAGTAATATGCTATGAGGGGATGGTCCCACTTCAAAATCTAACTAGATACGGCTTCATGTGACATTAAGATGATATTGATACAAATGAATTTTGTAATTGATATATTATATTTTTAATTTAGTGATAAATGTATATTAATGAAAATCCATTTAAAAAAATATACTCCGTCCCAAAATATTTTTTATGTGTAGATTTTTAAGAAATTAAAAAAAAAACTTTATTTTTAATGTATTTAATATTAAATTTTAATTTTTTTTATAAAATTAAAGTTTCATGATTTTTAATATTAAAAAAATAAAAAAAATTATAAAAAAATAATTTTAAAATATAAAAAGTAAGAGTTTTAAATGTTTAGAAAAAAATGACATAATTTTGAGATATTCAAAATAAAAAAAAAAAAGATGAACAAAGAAAATGAAAAAGAGAGTGTGACCATTTAACTAGCTTTTATGATTATATTTATAATTACTCATTAATTTTTTTTTTATTTTGGATTATTAAATGATAGAGTTTTTAAATTTCATAAATGATGATATATGATTATCATACGTCAATATAAGCTTTCATTATAATTAAAAAAATTACTATATTAACATATAATTATTATATATGATTATCACATGGTCATATAATAATTATATATTATTTGTGAAATTTAAAATTTCACCACCTAATATAATAGAGTTTCTTTTTGTTTTTTTCCTTTATATAAATGTGGGAAGTACGAAGATAGAAGTTGGATTTATTGGATTTTAATTACATCTTATAAAACAATTTTAAATATGGCAGGTTGATATTATATGAAAAAATAAAAATAATATCATTTAAATTTTTAATAAAAATTATATAAATTAAAAAAATAAAAAATTTTGATATTTAACATGTCACATAAATTATAATAATAATAATTTTTATATTTTATATGCATGAATATAAAACAAATAGATATAGATACAGTGACGATAAGATCTAATATGGATTTCAAAAACAAAAGAGAAAATTTACGTCATTGTGATGCTGACATAGCTGAATCCTATTGGCTCAAGGGTTTAAACCTAAGTCACTAACCAAAATTGAATGAATCATTTCCAAAGTATAACTATAACGGGAAGTACCGTTCCCTTATACTCATAAACAAGTTCGAAAAAGGAAAAAGAAACAGAAACAAAAAATAAAATAAAAACTGAGAAGGAAAACATAAATTGAAAGCAAAAGCCAAAACCCCTAAATTAAGCAAAATACAGAGAAAAAAAAAAAAAAAGGAAAATTGGAAATTGAGAAAGAAAATGAAGAAATCAGGAGGAGTAGAGAAGAAGAAAGCTCGAAGATCTTCGGCGTCCGTACAAAACGGCAGCAGAGATCCCAGCTCCGACACTCCTCCTAGGGTTCGCCTCGCCCTTTTCATTTCTCTGATTTACAGTTTTCTTTTTTAATTTGACATTTTTTGAAAAATTTTTTCTTTTGATTTTGATCCGAAAATTTTATGTCATGAATTTAGTGTAGACACTACAGTCACTTTGTTTAACAAAGAAAAATATAATTTTCTTTGAATTGCTAAAAGGAAAAAAAAAGATGGATATTGATTCGTATTAATTGTTGGGACCGGCTCGATTACTGCACTACATTTGTTTTTGTGAGGGAATTGGGACAAAAAATTCTATGGGATATTATTTTGAATTTTCTGTTTAATTATATTTAGCACTAAAGGAAAAGGAAGGGATAGATTCTCAGCATCGGGCACCCGTATCCGACGTCTGAATTGTTCATTACGGTGGGAGGGTTATGTTGTCCTAGAATGTTCTGTGTCCTATGTTTCCAATTTTACTTTAAAAAAGTGAAGGGTTTGAGTGATAGTATGGATATTTTTTCGCCTAAAAGACTCAATGTAGAGAACATGATAGAATTAAAGTGGTAATTAAAAAAAAAAGAAAAAAATTGAGGAAATTTTGTTGACTTAGGTTCAGATTAGTTGGCCCAACAAATTCAGAAAATGTTACTTACTTGATGAAACGAAATTGCCTTTTAGCTTACTAATGCTTTAAATATCTATGTTAACATATTGTGCTTGCCTTTTTATGATGCTATTTTTATTTGTGGTCAATATGATTTCTACTCATAGTTTGCCTGATCAACTGATGGTATTGCCTTTTAGGCTTGATGCTGATCATTGTGTCATGAATTTTGGGTTTACATGTGTTTCAATGTGCTTGTACTGGCCAATTCTTATAGTTAATCGTAATTCATGAATTTTATATACAGTATTGTTATCTAATTTCTGTATCATTTCCTTTATAACCAGAAACAAGCTGCCAAGAAGGATGTGTTTCAGTTGTTTGCTGAGAAAGTGAGGGACCATAAAGATTTGGTGTCTAGATGGGCTGTCTTGCAGGAAACTCGTGTCGAATATTTTAGAGGGAAGGATTTTGTAAGCTTTATAAAAAATCATCCAGAGCTTAAAGAAATACTGGAGTCAAATAGAAATCTAGAAACTGAAGATATTGCCAATAGTTTGTTACAGAAAACACTTTTGGTGCGCTGCGACCGTGTGGTGAAAACTGTTCGTCCGGGGAAGAAAAAGTTGTCTACCTGGCCTGCAAATTTAGAAATTTTTCCTGTGAGTCTTTAGTTGTTTAACATTAAAATATTTTATAAATCATTTACTGCTTTTGCTCTTAGGTGGTATAGCTGCTTGAATTTCTCATACACAAACATCTATATGTGTATATGTAATCTATGTCTGTATGTGTTTATCTTATTGATATATGCAAAGAGTTATCTTTCCACAATTACTAAATGCAGACCTAGATCTGTATAGGTACTCTTCCTTATGAGACACCTGATCCAACTTTCTTTTCTTTTATTATCATAAATGGTTATTTTGTTTTTTAACATTTTTCTAGAGAAACCTTGAAATTTCACCCTTACTATTTGCAAATACCTTAGG